GCTATATGCTGTAGTAGAATTTTTAAGTTTCCTAAACATAATTTGAATAACTTTTCTGCAAAATCAGTATTTTTCATCTCCTAATAATCGTTTTAATTATACCATTTTTTCCTTCATTACGTGCTCATTTTCTTACCTGGTTTGTTGAGCTCTGGATCCTTTCGCTGAGCACCCGCGCAGCCAAGGCCGGTACCTGGTACAGTCCCTGGGCAGGCAGAGCGGGGATCTTGGCTGGTGATTTAACCCACCCGTCCATCTTTTCGTACGCGGGCGACGCCGCGGTGGCCTTGGGGGTGGAGGGGACCTGGTAGATGTTTTGCTGTCCCGCGGCCGCCTCGGCGCTGTCGCCGCGGCTGGACGGAGGTGGCAGGTCCTGGGCGGCAGGCAGGAGCTGCAGGCGGTTCGCAGGGGCCAGGCCCTGTCTGCCGTGGAGGGAACATTTCCACCAGCCCTCGCTGCCGACGACGTTTTGCTCGAGCACGGTCAGGATGTCCCCCCTGCGGAAGGCCAGCTCGTCGGAGCACTCGGCTTTGTTGTCGTATAGAGCCTTCGCCAGGGTGTTCTGGAGAGGAGAAACAAAACGGGGGCTCTGCACCGTTTATACCAGTAGAAATGTTACACGGGTTGCCAGTTTCGCGTTTATCTTCACTTTAATTTCGATTTAATTCAAACTCATCAGTTTTTGTACCGGACAACCTCAAGAGCATTGGTTTCATAGTGTTAAGCATTTTCAGCATGCATCCTCTGCTCTGTGCAGCGCAGAAGTAAATGATATAATACTGTTATATTTTTCTTCAGCATCTTTCCCCCCTGAGATTCTTGAAGAACACCGCTAACACTCATTATTTTGACCTTATGAAAATCCATATATGAAAGATAGGTACTTTTTCCAATGGTATTCAAAACTTTTTTATAAGAAGTCAAAGTCACACAGGAAATGCATCACCAAACCAAAGAAAATTCACACCTTTCTCACTGCTAACTAATATATCTGAGGACTTCAGCTGCGCATAAGAGAGGCTAATTGTTTCTTACCTGAAAAAAAGAGAATTGTTTATTTTCCTTTACCCTTAAAACACAGAAAAGTGCCCGTGATCAGTGGTGTCCTCACAAGATACCTTGGATTTGCTGCAGGACACACACATCAGCTAGATGTGCCCATGCAGCTCCAGAAGAGAAAGCAGAATACTACCTAATGCAGAGAATCCCACGTTAACGGGGATTAATCATTAATTAATTAATTAATTAACTCTTACATGGCCCGCCAGCTGGGGGACACATCCAGAGATTTGTTCGTGCACTATAATGCCAAACCAGTTGGCCTGACGCGGTGCCCGCAGTTCCCTCCACAATACAGACACCACCGGCGTACAAATCCTGGAGTATTTCATGCATCTTTCACTGTCCTCATGCTGTGCTCTAATACAGTCATGCTTCATACAGGAAATCAAGGAAGAAGAGAGGAATGAAAAGCAAGAGAGTAGCATCACAGAATATCCCACAAAATCTGTGAGATAACAAATATTCATATTTGCCAGGGATCTAGAGGGCTGCTTGACCACAGAGGAGCCCTAGCTGCCTTCATTGAAGCTGATAAATTTGTGGCAATTATAAGTGTGTGGATAAACTTGTTTATTTTTAGCATATGAGGATATACTAATCCTAAATGCAATTGCTTAATCGTTACAAGCTGATGGTTAATGCACAGTAGTTGCAGAAGGCAGCTCTGTAGAACATAGTATTTTCCAATGCAGCATCGTATTTGCCTTCAACTTTAAAACGAGGCTGACGACTCCCCCCGGACATGTTCTAGCGTTCATTTCTTATCAGAAAGAGCAAGTCGTGTCCAGAGAGATAGTGCCCCCATAGGAAACACGATGCCTTGTGTCTTTGTCCAGAGCATTTGCTGTAGAGCAACAGCTGGTTTGAAGTAGCAGCAGCAGAAAATCAATTTGTCAGCCCAGCTGATGAAGGGGCCTCTTGTTAGCAGCTCCGTGTCTTTGTGAGGGTGCCCGTGAACAATGGCCTTGTTGTGACACATGGTTTGTCCGTCAGCAGCTGTCCGAGATGGACAACAACAGCCCCGTTTTCCCGGTGTCATAGGGTGGCTCAAACAGTCCTCTTGCCTTGGACACGGTAGCCCACCCTCTCTGTGGGCAATGGCAAATGCTCTGAACCACCTGTGTTTAAATCAGCCCTCCAGGAATCTCCTCACACACTGCAGCCTGGGGAGGGTTTGGGTCCATACATGGTTGCAATTGCAAATACATAATTAAAATAATATAGAGAAACAACTTTTCCTGTTATTAATTGGTGACACTTCCGGGTTTGGCTTACAAGATAAGACCTTTTTTATTGAGCATTGTAAAACAAAAAACCACATTAGAAGCTGGTCCCTCTTGTTAGGTGTGAAGAGGATGGGCAGGCAAAGCGAGTGCCCTCCCTGCACATGGGCAACTGAAACCCTGAGAGCTTGATCCAAGACCACACAGGAAACCCGTGGTACAGCCAGGAAGCCAACGTGGAGGAACCGAGGTCCTGGCTCGTAGACAAGACCGTCCTGCTCAGTTACACCAATAGAAACAAGAGGAAAACTTGGTTCATGGTGTCATTTTACAAGATAGCTAATTGTAAACATTTTTTCCAGCTAATTCTTTCTTCTTGGAATAGCAAGCTGAATACATCGTAGAACCAAATTATTTAGTTAATCAATGTACAAGTCTAACTTCAAATCTCAGTTGTTTTAGAGTAAATACGCTGACTTTTGCTAAAATAAATTCTGGCCCATGTACCTCACTGAGAATTTCTGCAAATGGCAACTCTGCACCACAGCCCAAGTTACACAAAGTGGGGAAGTGCTCTTCCCGTCTGCAACGTTCAAATGGGACTGCAGCAGCTCTTAGGAGGATCAAACATTTCAGCCATTCTCTCATCTCTTCTACTAGACAAACTAGATCAGCTTGCAAATGAAGTCAGAGAACAGCCAGACCAGTGCAAGCAACAGAGAAGTCAGTACTTCACTCAACAGCAAAGGTATTCCATGAGGTGTTGTCAAAGCTCAGCTGACCAGCATTCCATGTGCTAATGTCAGCAGTGCCAGCAGGGACCAAAAAGTGAAATTTTAAGCTTACAACATGATAGTCACAAGCTGTTTCGGTGCGGGGGTATTCACAATATATCCCTTCAATTTTGTCTACAAAAGCTGTGCAAACATCCAAGGGCAAGTAGCCCACAGTGAGCCACCATTCGCCTTGGAACTGATCTTAAAAGGAGTTTTATAAGTAGGTTTATAAGTTCCACCTGAACTGCGGAATATGTTAGTAACTTGTAGCCACCAAAGCACAGGAAGGTCTCGGGTAAAGCTCTTTTAAAAAACACCTCTTAAAAAGTGTTGTTTTACAGTAGGGCAAACTGGCATAAATGGCAGCTCTCCTAGGATACAGTGCAGGGAAATGTACAGACCTCCCAGTTTATTGTTTCATTTATTCTTGTTCCTTTTTGGCCTCCCCTGTCAGTCATCTGTTGCAGCGAGATATGAGGATGAAAAAAACAAAACCAAACAAACCAAAAAAACCCCACTGACACCAAAGAAAAAAACCCTAACCAACTTCTTCCTTTCAGCAGGCACATCTATATATATTGTCACTGCCCACAACCTGGCATGCAGCAGTATGTTTTAAAATGAATACGAGCAATGCCATGTAACCCAAGTAACTTACCCACTGCCAAATTCTGATCCCCCTCCAAAGACACAGAAGGGGAAGCGATTTCACAAGACAAGAGGTTGAGCAACTTGGATTTTGTCCTCCATCCCGCCTTACTCCTCTAGCTGCAGGACCAGCGAGCTCCTCCTCTGCTCTTATTTCCTTTCTGAGCGTTGTGGTTATTTTCTCACCTGGCCCCTCCAGCAAGGGGGGCTGGTGTGAGAGAGGCCCACGGAGCTTTTCTTTTGTGCAGAATTATCCCCAAAGAGCTGCTGGCAGCTTGGAAGGCACCAGCACGAGCTGCAGCGGTCCGGGGGCCCCAGCTGTGGGATGGGTCCGTAGGAGCCCAGGGTGCTGGAGCCCCCGGTGCGGCTGTAGCACCCGCCGTGCCAAGGTGACAGTACAGCCAAACACCAGGCAGCTCTGTGGGTTAAAATCACAGGGTGATTGTGACAGGCGAGCGGCGGGTGTAGCAGGACAGATGGAGAGCTGAGGTCTACCGGTTGTATCCACAGTTACACGGACTGGGGTTGTTGTAGTGCAGGATCTGGCTTGTCTGGTTTGAGGCTGTTAGTCAGAAATCAGGCCCTATCTCCACTGCCAGCTCCCAAGGACATGTGCACAGAATCACTGTGGCAGCCCCGTTCTATCATGTAAGCAGCAGCATCTCTGCCCTGCCATTCAGTATAAACAAGTCCTGCATTCCCAGGATCGCAGAGACCTTACGGACGCCTGGATAGGAGGAAGCCGCGCTTCGGGGCCAATGGGATCTGCATTTTTTCTTTATTACCAGAGCAGCGGAAACCGCCTGTCTAACACTATCACACACAGAACGTCCTCTCGGCCAGCTGTGTAGCTCTTGGTTATTTTATGTGATCTCTTTAATGTGTCCTTGCAATAACCAGCGTAAGCACCAAAGCAACACTGAGGAGATCAAAGTGTTCTTCTGCTTTGGCGCTTGTTGCTTCTTCCCCTTTGGCGGCCCTGGAAGGATTTTCCAAGATGAAGCACGTCCTAAGGGCAGGTTGCCGTTTGCCTCTTTCTTTGGCTCTTTTTCTCTCTCATCTTTATTGTTTGGATACCAGCAACACTGGGTCCCCTGCAAAGTGTAAGCAGCACTTGGGAGGCTCCACAACAAAAGCTGCTCCCTCGTGGGTAGTTTTAGTTAGTACTGAGTAATGCTGGCAATGGTACCTTTTTGTATGGTCCGTAAAATACAGTTCCATAATCCCCAACTGGGAATACTCGCATATACCCACCCTATGTGAGTATTCCCAGTGAACACATCTGTTTCCATATACTTAGTAAATGTTTACACTGATGGAAGACAAATTAAAAAATTACAACTTCCTACAGTATTCAGTGTTACTAGGAACTCCTGACCCCTTTCCCATCCTGAACCTCATCCCGAGTCTGTAATGCTAGTAACAGAAAATCAAATCTCAGCATTGTTTCTGTATTCCCACAGTTTGTGTTTGGAAGCTCCAGACTGCTGCTATCTGCTATTTCATCTGATTTGTAGATTTGCTAATACTTCCCAGCATCTTCGTTTCTAAACCAGAGCAATTATTTTGTCTTCTCTTGCCTTTTCTTTGTTTCTTTAAAACCTACGGAAATATTCGTATAGAGAGACAGTTTTAATCCTGGGAGTTTCTTTTGTGGATGAAGCACTTTGGTTTCAGGAAAACGAGACTTAAAACAGTTGAGGAGAAGGATGTGACAGCAGTGCAGGCAGCGGGCTGTGTTTGCAGCCAGCTATGCTGATGCATCAGTGATACCCTCTGACATGTTTACATAAACGTTCCCAGTTAATCTCTTCACCTCTGAGCAAAGCTGAAGAAATAAACATTCCCCATCACCCTATGGGCTGGGAACAAGTTTCCCAGAGAAGTCTTGTTAGATAGAAGCCCAAATTCAGTCAATTTAACTTTTGCCCAATTCAATTAATTATAGACAGAGCCGAATACCCATAGAAGAAGGAAGAGCACATCCTAGGAGGAGGAAGAGCACATCCTAGGAGGAGGAAGAGCACATCCTAGGAGGAGGAAGAGCACATCCTAACTGCTGGGAATGTTCTGCACGTGCGTGTGACCCCCTTCCAGCTCTGCACTGCTGCGTGTCCCACGGGCTGTGTTGGTTTTCTGGGACCTGCAGAAGCTCCTTATACTTTATTGTTTGTAGGTGTATTTTTTTCTGGTTAGACAAAAAGACGTGCATAAATTAATTTGCTTTTCTGATTGTTTTTGAACTTTTTTAGTATCTACTTTGTATTTTACCCCCAAATTCATATCCAAACATAGATTTTAAAACATAGCAAGAAAATTCTGGTGAGCGTTAATTTTCTCTTTCTGTCTTCTAAGCAGTAAATGTTCAGCACAGAGTCTTCAAACCCGGCCCTTGCTCGTGTTCCTCTGCTTGCACAGGCGATGGACAAGACTTTCCTAGCGTGGTCGTGGAGCAAAGCTGACCATCCACGGCTCGTACAACAGGGTGTGGATTGAAGCAAACCTTTGTCTAGATCCCCCCTTCCTTCCAAAAAGTACTAATTAGAGAGAAAATTAGCAGAGAACAGAACCAGTCGATCCTTGGTTTTGTCTCCCGCCCTTCACCAGACGAGGAAACCGGCTTCACTCGCGGTGCCGAAATCGCCATCCCCGATCAATTGTGCACGGCCACGTCCCTAATTACAGCCTCTCATTTGCAGGGGCTGCTGCAACCCTCCCCCGGGCGCAGGTGCCACAGGGTGATGTCCCCGGAGCCACAGACTGCTCCAGTGTCCCAGAAATAACCAAAGAGCTGAATAATGACCCACCGGTAAGTGAGGAGCAGATGGCGGAGCGAGGCGGCTCCTGATTCATAATGAATCAGTGGCAACGCTGCAGCTTCCCCCTCTCCATCATTGCCATTACCCGCACCAAGATGTCACCTTTTTTATTATTATTATTTTAAGACAGTCTATTAGGGTGAAGCTTCCTTTTTCTGCAGTTTGAGCTTTTTTTCCATGGGAAGAGGAGTCAATGCGTTTTTAGCTGCCCTAATCGCTGCAGGAGGCAGGGGAAGGGCCGAGCTCCTTTACACGCTCCCGAAACGCTCCCGCTCGCGGCACAGCCCGTCCTCTGCCCCCGCAAAGCTCCCGCTCGGGCTCTGCTCCGCGCCGGCCTCCGGGAGCCGGGAGCAGCCAACGGCCCCGGGGCAGATCCCGTCCGCGCGGGCGGGCGCCCTCGCCGTGTTCCCCGCGCCGGCGCTTCCCTCTTGCTGCACAGGAGCCCTCGCTGCACCGCGGGGTCTCTATTATAGCCCCAGAGTGCAAAACCTGCCCCAGCCTCGCACGGGTCGTTTTCAAATTTCCTGGTGTTTCTATATCAAAAAGTGACTCCAGGCATAACACGTTTGTGTCAGCTGTTTCCCAGCAACTGATGGCAAAAATGCATGCGGGGCTCCTCTTTAGGATAATATATAAAGTTAAGACCGCTTTTAGTAATTTATACTCATTAATCCTAGGAAAATAAAAAAGGCAAGAGGTATCAAAGGGTGAGCCCCTTGGCTTCAGTATATTTCTGCAGTAAAGTGTGACACTGCCTAATATTAACAATATAAAACCTCTCCCTTCTTGGGCAGCCTATTGTTCCTGATAAAGCATTTTCCAGCTAGGCATAGACTATGTTTTAAAAACCATGTGTTCTGCTAGCAGCCTGTGCAGAGGATCAACAGCACCTTTTGAACAGCAATCCCGACAGATACAGATGTTTACGCTGTATAAACCTTCATTATAAATGGAATAAACACTGCGGCTAATTGCAAGAGAAGTAAAATCCTCTACTTACATTGACCTTCATCTCGCTGCCTCCTGCCTCCCTGTCACTGCATGCCCTGCGCGAGGCGGTCGGAATCTCTCCCAGCCGGGGATCAGGCGCGGGTGCGCGCGGAGCTCCGGCCTCCTTCCCGCTCCTTCCCGCTCCGCGTGGAGCTCGTTACGTAGGGAACGGGCCCCGCGGAGCCATTGGCCGCGGCTGCCCCTGCGCGGGGACCGCAGATGTCCCGGCGCGCAGAGCCCCGGGGACGCCGGCTGCGTCGCGGCTCCATCACAGCGTGGGGGCTGAGAACACGATTTCCCTCGATTTTGAGGCATATTCACAGGGTTTGCGACATCTCTTTTCTTTTTGCTCATTTTTTGTACCTGAAAGGGGTTTGGTCTCACACTTAGAGATCTTCATGTTCAGTTCTCTAGAAAATAGCACATGTCCTTTGCAGCTGTGTAAATCACTGCAAAATAATTCCCTTATTTAAAGGCACAGAATTTTAGAGGAAAGTTAAATATAATGGTAGGTTACAGGTTTTGATTTTAAATTATTCATTTAAAAACAACAAAAAAAATCACATTATTTAATATTATTGTTATGGTCGTTGCTCTCTGCTCAACACCAGCTCTGCCAAGGGGATGCTTATGCAAGTGAGCAGGCTCTAGTGCCTCTTTACTTCTTAAGATCTTGGATTTTGCACTGTTACTGCATTTGCCCTCATGTATCCTGCTTTTTTTCTAGCTACCATGAAGCTTCCTTCCTCTTTCTGTAGTAGCTTCAAATTAGGCACTCGCTCCCAAAGCCACAACCAACAAAGCAGAAAAGGAGCGGGGCTGAAATAGAAAATGTTGAATTGAAAACGCTTTCTCAACGAAGCCTGCACAGCTGGACGGGGGCCAAGCCGCTAAGGCGCCTGCCCAGATGTGCCGGAATGCAGATGTGTGTCGGGAGGAGAACCCGGCATGAAGCAACCCCTTTGGATGCCTCCTGCACTCGTTTGCTTTTTGCTCCGATTGCAACCAGCGTTTTTCCCCATGTGAACGCTCCGTGTTGTGCAATGGATAAAGAACAACCCTGAGCTCCGTGTCCCGGGATTCACAAGGCTCGGAGCCCGGGGTCCCGTGTGGGGATGCTGCAGGGTGCAGCAGTGACACCCCCGGGAGCTCAAACGTCCCCCGTCCAGGCAGCGATGGCACCTCAGCTCCAAGTGCCACCCATGGGGACCTCCACTGCAACGCGCTGACCGGGGAGGAGATGCACCAGGGGACACCTACAAAATGTGCAAGCTGGGCACGCTGGGAAAAGCGACACATTTAATACAGACTTAATGGGTACTAAGGACATGATCCTGTTTTTCTTTTGGCACCAGGACAGTAAATGTTGTCACACAGTATGAGAACCGTTTCCTGGGCACATTCTGCAATTGTACTTTAAGTTTCACCCAGAAATGCAACATTTCCTGTGCAGACTTGGCCACGGCTACGTAAACAACAACAAGAAACAGCGTTTCTGGGATGCAATCCTGAGTTCATTCGCCGAAACAGCTCATATCTCACACACGGGGTCGAGCGGGGCCCAGCAGGAGCGGCGAGGTGCTGCCTGCCCTGGGAAAGCCTCATGGTCGGTGCATGGTGCTCCAAGAAACCCGGCGCTGGAAAACCCCACGGACGTGGGGCTTGTGCACGCCAGAGCACAGACTGCAGCCGGTGCAGTGAGCAGACATAGGGATGTGGGGATAGCGGAACCCTCTAAACCATCCCCGAATGGTCCAGCTGAAGGAAACCCGGCTTTGGAGCTGCCACCTCCCCGAGCTGCTCCTGCGCGTCCCTCATGGAGATCACATTGGTTTTGCCAGCAGCAAACCCTTCAAGAACACTGAAAACACCGTACCCAGAAACAGAAACGCTTTTCTCGGAAGAAAGGTGAAACACGCTCCGCATCTCTGCATCGTTTCTAATGACTTAATACACAAAATTCTCATCTTTATAGACATAAAGCGGACACAGAAAAAAAAAATCGTGTATGACAAAAGGCTCATCAAGCTGGGACCAAATGATTTTTCCACTAGATTTTGTTTCCAATGTACAGGCAGCAGTTTATTTACAGTAAACATTGAGCTGATAATCCAAGATGGAAAGAATAAATCCATTACGCTTCTTATTAAGCTTGCGGACAGTAGGAAGAACAAAGCACTGAATTAGAAGACAAACTTCATTTTCAGACCTTTATAGCTTCAGGAAGCTAACATATATGTATATAAAATCATATCACATCTAATATGAACAAATGAATAATTTCACCAAAAAACACCACATAAACTAGTTTCAATCTTTCAAAACAAGCCAAAATAATACTTTACATATTCTGCTGTTTTATTTCTAATGTAGGAAAACTCTCTATTGTGCAAACAGATCCCCTGGACTCCTGCTGCTCCCAGTCTCTGGCAATACAAGCACGTATCGAATGTTATTACAGCACAGCAGCAAGATGGATGGAACCATGAAGGTACCTGTTGATTTTGTCACAGATTTGCTCATTCGCAGGCGTTTGCTACCTGTGAATCTGGCTTCATTGAGAGCCCTGCCCAGAAAGGCATTTGCACCAGTCAATGATCTGACTCAACAGAAAGCCCAGGGATCCCTCAGGCACAGGAGCATCCCAACACCGGGGATCACCACGCAGCATCTTGGGTTCAAAACATTACACTTAAACAATTAAAAAAAAAATAGCCCTAGTGTATATGCTGTACTCAAAATCTAGACCTACCTTTGCAGTTCCATTGACTCCTCTGGTCGTATTCATGGTTGTCTTTCACAGCATGGAAGCTTCGCTTTAAGCAGTGCAGACAGCTACCCCCAGACAGAGACCTGTGTTTTGTGGGCAGCGTCAGGAACTGTTTCTCAACAAGCCCATCTGACAGCTCTCCTCGTAACGGCACTTAGGAAGTGGTACAAAAGAGTCTCGTGAAAGGCTCTTAAAAAGAAATAAAGCCGAGAAACCCCAGCAGCATCCAGCGCTGAGAAGAAAGTTGCCTGCAAGGGGAATTTTCCTTGAGCTCTCTGTCACCAACTTGTCACAATGAACCAGCCTGTTCCTGTATTTCCTATTTTAGAAATGTAATGACTACAAGAATACGAAGCACCACAAGAGGCTGCACAGTGCTTGATAGAAAGAAGTGCCATAATCACATTAATTCAAGATCGGTAAGTCAAAATTTTTAATGCCTTTCAGAGCTGCCTCATCCTTTAACACACTCTATACAATTTTTTGTTAGGCAAAGAAAGGGCTTTGGGAATTAACAGAAACCTTACATTTTACCTGGGGCTGAATTCTTTATAAGACTCCTTCGAGGTTTAAGCACACACAAATGAGACGTTGGCAGAACTATGCTTGTGAGTGGAGGGTCCATCTCATGCCAGGTTTCCTCCTGCAGACTATGATCTCCCTATTTTCCCATTACTGCATTTAATGAGGGGCTTCCCGAGTTTTCCTTGGTGGAAAGAGGACATCCACATCCAGGTAATGAGAAAAACATTATGTCCCAGCCCACTACCCTCAAACAGAGCATGTTTCAGTAGGTGGCAAACACGGCCAGTTCCACAAGCGCCCGTTGCAGAGAGGCCTTCCCCGATCCGCATGCCAGCCGCAAGGCGGCCAACTCCGCGTGCCGAAAATCCCCAAAGCCAGAAAGACACAAGCTGGAATGATGATTTAAGAGGAGGGGGTTGTTGAGCTAATGCTTTAGCCCTCGAGTTACCTCACGCTGCTTCCCTTACAGCTTGTTCGGTGCGGCAGGAAGAGCTTCTGTGTTGGGTGGCAGTAGAGACTGGTACTAATTCCAAACCGGCCCCTCGTGCAAACAACAGGCCAAAACGTGGGGTGATGGTTCAAGCCAGGGGTGCCCGGGGGCAGTGGCAGCTTTCGGAGGCCCAGGTGTAACTACACCCACCACGAGGCCACAGGCGAGGCCTGCTTCCTGCTGGGAACTGCTGGCAACACTCGCGTCCCCAACACCAAGACTGAAGAGACGGGACCCGAACGGGTGGGGAAAGACGTTTCCCTGGAACATGAAGCCTTGTCAAAACTGCAGCGTGAAGGCAGAACAGAGATGCCCGTCGCTCAGCCGGCGTCGCCGCGGTGCTGTCGGGGCTGCTGTCTGGGTGAAGGCCGCTCTTGTGCACAAGGGTGATGGGCTTCCACCGCCGCCCTCGCGGCCAGAGGTTCAAAGGCCCCGACAGCTCATCCCGGGCAGGAGTTCTGTTTTGCAAGGGCCTTGTTTACACATTTGCTTCCTCTTTAAGCTGGAAGAGGAGCCGACTTTAAAGCTTTGAGGAACAAAGTTTGAAAGAAGAGAATGGCAAAGTTATTAGCCTCAAACGAAAAAGTCTGGCAGGGCAGAGTGACAGAAAAGCAAAGGTGCAGACTGGACACCAGGTTTACACAAGTATCTCAGCAGCCGGAGGAGACGGCTGTCTGTCTCCACGCTCTGGTCCTGAGGAACACGCACTGGCAGCGGGTCCCTCAGGAACGCCTCTTCGGAAGCCCCGGAGCTGCTCGGGGAGGAAACGCAGATCCTGCCTTTCCCTCGGAGCGGGGCTGCTCCAGATCCTGCCTTTCCCTCGCGGCGGGGCGGCCCCCCGCGC